TTTTGGTACGCGGGCCTCTCACTGCTGTGGCCCCTCCCGCTGCGGAGCACAGGCTCCAGACGCGCAGGCCCAGCGGCCATGGCTCACGGGCCCAGCCGCTCCGCAGCACGCGGGATCCTCCCAGACCGGGGCACGAACCCGCGCCCCCTGCATCGGCAGGCGGACTCCCAACAGCTGCACCACCAGGGAAGCCCTAGAGTTGTTTTTGATTGTATTCTTAACACTAACTATAAACATTTACCAAGTTAGTAATGCAAAGCCTGTAATCTCTATTCTAAAATATATCCTACCATGCATCTAGGGATGATCAAATCCTTCTACTCATCATCAGTTTTTGGCTTTTCCCAATGCTTTCAGGAAAGGTTACCATGAAAAGGCTCCTCCTTACACTAATCCTTGGTCAATAATAGATAGAAGGACTCTGTGCTTGGGAAAAAAGCACAGTAGAGATTCTGATTTATCCACTTACAGATCATACACTTTTGAGGCACATATTGCTGTTGATGCCTCTCTTTCTCTCATAGTCCACAACTAATCTGTTAGGAAATCTATTGGCTCTGTCAAAATTTATCCAGAATCCTACTGCTTTATTTTTTTATTTTTTATTTTTTTGCGGTACGCGGGCCTCTCACTGTTGTGGCCTCTCCCGTTGAGGAGCACAGGCTCCGGACGCGCAGGCTCAGTGGCCATGGCTCACGGGCCCACAGCATGTGGGATCTTCCCGGACCGGGGCACGAACCCGTGTCCCCTGCATCGGCAGGCAGACTCTCAACCACTGGACCACCAGGGAAGCCCCCTACTGCTTTTTATCACATCCTCTACCACCACCCTGGTCTAAGCCACCAGCATCTCTCACTTGGATGATGGCAACAGCTCTCCACCTCTGCCCTATCCCACTACCTTCCCTCCAAACCACAGTCAATTCTTCCTTTTTGGTTAAATCCTTCAATGGCTCCCCACCTCACTCTAAGTAAAAAAAACAAGGTTCTTCAGCATCGGCCCCGATGACCGCTCCTACTTATGTCCCCTCACTCGCTCTGCTCCAGCCCCGCTGGCTTCCTTCCTCTCCCAAAACACGCCAGCGCCTCTCTCTGTCAAGCATGTTCTTAAAAACCACCTATGAATTTTACCTTGGCTTTGTTGGTCTTGTTCAGGTTAGAAACTTGATCAATCAGGTGCTGGACAGAGTCAGAACTGACTTTCCCATCTTCCAAACGATGATAAATTAATCGTGGTTTGCCTTCAGGGTTTTTCAGAAAAGCTTCTTCACAGTCTTCCAATAACAAGCTAGATTGGAAATCAGTATTTCTTGTGCTATACTGCACTGTAGCAGCACACAGTTAGTCAATTAACCTAAGTGCCAAGAAGGGGGATTTACTACAATGACAGGTGGCCAGAAAAGGCCCCGCTGCAGAATAAGTGAAACTTTCCAAAAATGGATGTTTTTACAGCTCTGTTCTAGCTTAGTGTCAATATTAAAGTATAATATATTCACTAGCAGACAATGAGAGTAGGTACAATAAATTAAATTTTAAAGCATACATAATTTTAATTTTTTAAAATCTAATTTAAAAAAACTTCTCAAAAATACTGTTAAACATTGCTCAAAATAATGGTCCATACTCATGAGACTTTGCAAATAAATGGAAAACCTAATTCTATTCACAATTATATAATTTCAAGTTAAAACACAAATATCATCAGCCTCAAGGTTTCAAGATTTTTCTCTTCTGTAGTCCTTTAGCCTTTACTCATTGAATAAATGATCTGAACGCTTATACCCCAGATACACTGTAAGAAAGATCCAGAGGCAGATGGGGAAGGTTAGATAGCTATTAAAATCTTGACTGTGGTAAAGGTTAAAAAAAAATTCTAACTATGCTCAATGTACCGTAACTACAGCTTGTACTATTCCTATTTAAATTCCAGAAAAATCTTCAAATAACCTACTAGTGTTTTCTACACCACAAGAAAAACTAAACAATTCCCCTTTCTAAAAAGCATTAAATGAAAGTTTGTCTAGAAAGGCAAATTACTGTGTGTATACAGGGAAAAGCCATTATATGATTCAGAATTTGCATAAAAAACTAAAATACCAGCCCCAATACGAAACAGGAAAAAAAAGCAAAAAGAAGAAAACAGAAAGAAAAAACAGCATGGTTTTAAGGATTAAAGCATTAACAAGAGAAAAACAACAAGTGACATATACTATCACCTAAGATAAAATACTACCTAGATATTAAAGAATAAAACAGGATATATATATATATATATATATATTTTTTTTTTTTTTTGTGGTATGCGGGCCTCTCACTGTTGTGGCCTCTCCCGTTGCGGAGCACAGGCTCTGAACACGCAGGCTCAGTGGCCATGGCTCACGGGCCTAGCCGCTCCGCGGCATGTGGGATTTTCCCGTACTGGGGCACGAACCCGTGTCCCCTGCATCAGCAGGCGGACTCTCAACCACTGCGCCACCAGGGATACCCCAGATATATTCTTAATATAAAAACAAAACAGGAAAATAAAAGAGGGAAGGGGAGGTAAAGGACTCCAACTAAAGGAAATCAAGTTGAAGGAATCCTTAAACTTATTTTGGGAAAAGGTTCCTTGACCACGTAGCTCCTTGGCCACCTGGTCTCTGGGTAGAGTCTTAAGGATCAATGATAGGTTATATTGCAGGGATTCTCATAAAGCTTAGGGCTCCAAACATTTCCAAAGACAGTTAAAGTCAGAGTTGGTCCTCAATAAAAAGAGAAAAATGCTTTGGAAGGATTAAATCCAATCAGATAGAAAATATAGAAAGAAAAATTAACTTCTTATTTAACCTCCTATCTATCTTACTTTGTCTTCTATCTATATATCTAACTGGTAACAAAAAAAAAAAGCTTCATTTGTAGACTAGATTCATTGGTGTGATTATATTTCACATTATAAGAAAACTGCTCACTTCACTGGATTTAAGTAGTTAGCTCCTCAGAGAATTAAAAATATGATTTAACACCTATGCAAGTGTTCAAGTGCCTCTAAATCTGTATCTGAAGAAAGAAAATAATGAAGGTTAATGCTGATTATTGAAATCAGGAGTCACCACCTTCTTCTGTAAAGGGTCAGCTAGTAAACATTTCAGGCTTTGCGGGCCATACAGTCTCTGTTGAAATACTCAACTCTGCTGTTGTAGTGTGAAAGCAGCTATAGACAATACATAAATGAATGACCATACCTGTGCTCCAATAAAACTTTATTTATAAAAACAGGTGGCTGACTGGATTTGACCTGAGGGCCATAGGTTGCTGACCTCTGATTAAAATGATCTTTACATTAATGATGTTAATCTTATAACCTATTAACAAGCCTAACAGTGTGAAACTTTTTTTATTTTATTCACGTATTAAAAGTCATAGAATTTACTGAATTTCATGGATTGTTTTTGATTGTAAGAATGCAATTAGAACTTATCTTTCAAGGTCATCTGGTAATCTCAATTCTATTTATGAGTTTAACTTCTATAATAAATTATAGAATTTTCAGCTTACCTTGGTAAGGTTAAATGAATGAATAAGATAACTAATGAACTCTTCTCAATTTCCCATTTTCTTACAGTGAGGTACTGATTTTCAATATCAATTGGAAAATACACAGCATGGAAAAAATATCCCATTGTCTCACACATTCTTTTAAGTTTAGGTGAATAGTCCTAAAAACAAATTAAAACATAAGAAAGCACAGCTTATTTAACTAAAGATCTAGTCAGCTTCATACTACTTAAAATCAAAAAGGTTATGTTGGATATTCTCTAATTTAAATCTTTAAAAATTATATGATCACATCTTAAAGAAGATCTTTAAGAGAAAAGGCAAGTTTCTCTATAAAATAAAAATAGTAATAGCTTAGCAACTTTCCTGTTTCCTAGCTCAGAAAATGATTTATCTCATAATAAACCAAAAACAACAGGAGTAAAGTATTAGACTATTTTGCTTTGGTAGTTATTTATTTTTATTATTATTATTACAAATGACTTTTGTTTATTGTTATAGGGTGAAAAATGTAAATCCATAGATTTATATAGTAAAAAGTGTCTGCCGTGATATATTAGAACACTAAAACAAACAGATATAAAAATATGTTGGTCTATAACAAATTAAGGTACTTAGTATGATGATTAGTATTATGCAATAAGTTAGTAATTCCCTCAACATGTGTTTGGGAACAGCCTATACTTAGTGAGTAGAAGCTTTGGTTTTCAAAATACTTTGTCTTTTTACCAAAATTGAGTATTATCAAAAAGGAAAGCTAAATGAACTTATTAATCAACAATCTAGACGATGCTAATATAGCAGGTATAGCATGTGACATGCATATTTATTTAAAATTCAGTTAGAACAGTAGTTGGTAAACTTTTCTGTAAAGGGCCAGATGGCAAATTAATAACAGCTTAAGAACTTGGCTGTTTTGGCAGAGGTTTTAGTGGTTCATTTAGCCTCCATCATAATTTATTCTGCCATTAGTGAGAAGTAACCTGAGACAATACATTGAGCGTGGCTGTGTTCCAATATAACTTTATTTATAGACACCAAAATTTGAATTTCATATAATTTTCATGTCAAAATATTATTCTTCTTTTGATTTTTTTCAACCGTTTAAAACTGTAAAAACCAATCTTAGCTCTAGGTCATACACAGACAGACTGCAAGCCAGATTTGGCCCACAGGCTGTAGTTTGCTGACCCCTGCCTTAGATTAACCCCAATGGCTGCCTTGAAAAAGTTAAAACCATGACAAGGATTAAATTTTGACATAATCTGAAACAGATTCAAGAATAGAGCTGGCAGGTATTAACTATAGCAGGCACCATCAGTAAGGGCCGTAAACACTGTGGAGAACGTGTAATGAAGCATTCAAAAGCATAAAGTTCCAAGGTCTTAAATGAATATACTGATAATACTGAGTAAGACGTTTTCTTAAGAAAAGTCCAAGATGCTTCCTACTCTTTAAGACATAATCTAGTGGGTAGTAAACTACTTGGTTCAGGCAATCAGTAGTGTCATAACCAGGACACAATATTAACTTTATTTTAAATCAGTGAATACAGAATTTATAAATGCCCTCACCTTAAGGAAAAGATCCATTTCGGGCTGGGTTTCATCTGTATAAATGAGGTAACATCTGACAGTGTTACTCCACAGAGAATGTGAAAACAAGGGGGTAACTTGTAATAAACTAGCTACAGCAATATCCCAGTCATCTGAAAATAAAATTTCTCATAAGTTCCCGAAAAATAATTACTAGAAAACAGTTGACAAGATGATTCCCCAAAAGTCTGAAAGAAAACAACAGGCATCATCTGATCTCACTTGTAATACCGACAAAGCTTCTAGAATATTAGAAGGCAATCAGTTCTCTAACCTCAAATTCTATCCTGGGACATAAAGCAATCAATGTCACCAGTGGTCTTTCCTAGGGTACCCGTTGGCTCCAGTCAAATGTCAGTGAACTAGGCAACATGGGCTGTTCAATTAGTTTGCTACTTGAGGAGAGCCTACATTCCCAGGCTGGCCTATAGTTTTATCTACTTATTATTCTTGAAATACATTGAGTCAAAACGAAAGTTCAAGAATGGTACAAAACAAAAAATAACCAAAAGATAGTGAGAATGAATATTTTAAGACATATTTGACTAATTCAAAATGCATAAATAAAAAAATAATTTTCATTTTGCTAATAGATAAATAATTTCAGGCTTTTAAAACATTTATTTATTCATTTATTTATCTTTGGCTGCATTGGGTCTTGGCCACTACGCAAGGCTCTCTCTAGTCGCAGTGAGCAGGGGCCACTGCTTGTTGTGGTGCGTGGGCTTCTCACTGCAGTGGCCTGTCTCTGTCGTGGAGCACGGGCTCCAGGCATGTGGGCCTCAGTAGTTGTGGATCACGGGCTCTAGAGCACAGGCTCAGCAGCCATGGCTTTAGTTGCTCCACAGCAGGTGGGATCCTCCTGGACCAGGGCTTAAACTCGTGTCCCCTGCATTGGCAGGTGGACTCCTAACCACTGTGCCACCAGGGAAGTCCCTATATTTCAAAGTTTTAAGAAAAGAGTGGAGCTACTTATAACATTTCAGATCTGAGGTGGTATTGAAATTCTGAACAGATCTTAAGAGCTGTCTTGGATACCAAATTATATAAAAGATAATGAATAAGAATACTATATTATATAACTGAAATTTTGTACTCTACTCCACAACTTCTCTAACCTTCGACACCATCAAAGATGCAGAGGGAAAGACTAAACACTACTGTTTTTCAGTTAATCTACATTAGGCTCTCACCGCTCAACTAAAACATCTGATCCTGATGTGAATTATGCAACTTCATCATTCCTGGTCAGTGACAAGTACCAGTACATGATGGTTTGACAGTGGAAGACAACCAAAACACAAGTCTCATGCTCTGCTGATGGCAGTTTTCCCAGCATAAGATTATAGTACACAAACAGTCACTACCATTAACCAAGGTAATTGGCAAATGGCGTGTGTTACCTCTGTTGACGTTAGCAAAGGGTCCTTCTATATCTATAGAACTATGGGCAAACTCAGGGCCCCGGAAAGACTGCTGAAGCTGAATCATACTTCCTATGGAGGGCTCACTTCCCAAGGCTCCACCAGTCCAATACTCGCACTGGGGTCCAGCAGCTGTAAAAGCAAGAGATTTCATCTGATGAAAACCAAATTATATTGGAATTTCAAAAACTTATCATATATATTCAATGGATTTCTAATGCAAAAAATACTACAATATTATAAATACAACAGATATTCAAACTTTGATTTTGAAATCAAAACAATGATTTTGAATGTACTTTGCCACCAACTTCTGGCAAGTTCTAAGGTGGTGGTTAACATAATTCTGGTTATCACCTCAAACTTAAAAAGGGGATTAAAAAGAGAAAGATGAAAAGAAATTAGGAATACAATAACCAAAAGAATTATAATAACAGAGAGGAGTTAAAAACACCCCCCAACAAAAATATTCTAAAAAACATTCCTAACTGTATGATTTAGGTATCAGTGTAAAATGTGAAGGAAAGAATTTCAAAGGAAGACTATTACTGGCACACCAGTAATTAATATTGGTAATTCATTAGGATGTAAGCTAAGGATGTAAAGAGCACATTTTCTTAACCTCTCAGAGCAAAAAAAATTAATGTCTGAATCAACAGGTACTTATGAACATGTTGATTTATTTTAATAAATAATAATTCATGGCATCCTTGACTAAACATAAGTAAACTGGTATTTGGGCTAAATCTCTGGCAAAACTGGGATTATTATTTGTGGGTGACAAATAATGAGTGACATTCCCTCAAGCATTCCTTCTTCATGTTTATATCGAAATAGGAAGAAAGACCTACGAGGAAATATTAACTCGTTTTTATTAACTTGCTAAGAGAATTAGAATATAATAGTTTTGAAACCCTGTACATTTTAACATATGTCAATACTGAAACAATCACGAGGACTAATGCCATTAAGAATCACTTCACTTTTTTTTCTCAAAAGTTAGTAATAAAATTCCCAGGATGCTAGTCAAATTCCAATGGTACTAAAATGAAAATTAAGAGGGAATTATCAGTTGCCATATTTCACTCCAAAATACATCAGTTTGTAAGAATATAATTATAGTTTTTTTAATAAATGGGAGAGTGACTGCATTTTTCCACCGCATTTAAAATAGAATATTTCTCAAAATCAATCACACTTTATTATTATTTCCTTGGAACACAGTGGACCCTTTCAGTCTAGGATTCCAAGTTTTTCTTTATTTCTCGAAAAAACACTTTCTATGTTTAATTGTAAAACAAAAACTTTAAAAGTATTTTACAAAACTGTATTGGAAACCACTCAATGAAATATTATGCAGATATTCTGATAGTTGTAAAGAATATATCAATTATGTGGAAAAATAATGTGACAGAGACTACTAACTGTCCTCCAACAACCATCCTCCCCTTCTTCCTTTAGTGACACAACCCCAAATTTTATGTGGATACATGGCTCTCCTGCTAATGATTACACTTTCCCATCTTCCTAGGTAGAGTTCTGGCCAATGGGGTTTGAGTAGGAGTAACTGTATATCTTTCAGATTGTGCTTTCAAGGAAAGTAAGGTATTCCCTCCCTCCCCCTGGCTAAATTGTAGATGTGATGTTGGGACTTAGAGGGGCTTAGACCAGAGAGAGAAAAGCTATGGGTTAAGGTTGGTAGAACAATGAGACAGAAGGAACCTCAGCCTCTACATCATGGACTTCATAGAAAAGAGCTGTCATAACAACTGAGAAAGAGAACGTGCAACTCTATTTGTAACAGCAATTACTTATAAGTAAAACGATTCAAAGTTGGCTCTATAATCATTATACCTATATTGAAATCTCAAAATATTATATATAGGAAATAAATTTACCAGTAACATCTGTACAGTTGTCATCTGAATCAGACTCTCCAGGATCAAATACATGGATCCCCTGAACCTGTAGCCTCTGAAGTTTACTCTCCAACTCTCGCTTGGCCCTCAATAAATCCTGAATTTCATTTTCCTTGGTCTCCCTAAAAATCTTTAAAAGAAGGATTTTAATTTTGAAACCCTTTTCGATAATCAAAAATTGTATCATCAACTTTTAAGGGAAAATTCTTTCTTTCACAAAATCAATATTCATTTGGTCCTTGATCTCCCCTTTTGTAGGATGAATAATCTGCGTACCTCTACATCACTGTTTTGTAACTGGAACCCACTGGAATTCCAGCAGGATGTGTGTCTGTAGTGTGGAGCTGCCTTGTGTGCTACCGATGTTTAGCAAATTTGTCCCCCTCCCATTTAATGCCAGTAATGCTTACCCATAGAAAACATCCCCAAACATTCTAAATGCTTTCCCCTAACAGAAACAATTTCCTTTCCCGCCCCCCCCCCAAATCCCTATTAAAATGTTCACTTTTATACCTTTTCTTTGAAACTACCTGAAGTTTACCTCGTCCAACTCAAAAATGTAAAGTGCTTTAGTTTAGTTCTTATAACTTTCATGGCTCCTACATCATTTACTTCTGGTTATTCATCGCAGTATTATATGAACTTTAAAAATAAACTGCTTTTATTCCATATCACTTTGGGGATAAAGATGTATGAAATTTACCTTAAATTGCCTCTTAACTTTATCTCTGTCATGTTCAAATGTAGCTGCTCTCTCCATTGCTTGATATTTTGCTTCTAAAGCACTTTCCTTTTCCCGAAGTATCTTCTGGTAAGTTTTCTGAAGTGCCTGGAATAATTTACCTCGTTATTTATAACAAAAATAGCATGCCTCCCAAATTTTACATTATCTTATATACATATTAAATATCTTAGAATTTTAACCATCTACTTACTTTTTCACCAGTTATCAAGAACTGCATATTGCCATTCTACTCAAACACATAATGAAAAAAAAACCGCAAATATGCTTGAATTATAAATGAAGATATTTGACATTAAGCTTTCAATGGAAATTAATGCTTTTTCTTTGAAATACTGCACTAGTTCTTAATCTTCACTACACCTCAGCTTTCCCATCTTTAAGAGAACAAAAAGTACAACTTGTAAGGCTTAATTTAACCTGAAGGATAATTACTTCTGTGAGACTGTGCACTCCTTGGCTCCATGTCTTACTCCTTTTGCTAGCCCCAAGCACTAGCAGTGCCTGATACACGACAGGCTTCCAGTAAATGTCTGACTGAATGAATTAAATAAATACAGAAGGTTTTTAAAAAATGTCTAGATATGTGAGAAAGGTATCAAAAGGGTTACATAAGGAATCAGGATTCGTAACACGAATAACCTGGGACTGTGACATTTGTCAACACTTAGTGCACTCTACCCTGGTTGGTCTGGCTTTCTTTTCTACCTCCACCTCAGTCTTTTGCAATATGCAGTGAGTCCAAGACAATGGCTTGGATGCATGAAATCAGATATCTGAAATGCATAAGTCCATTTCATACATGCAAGTGCATTAAGACTGCCCAATAGGAAAATCTGTAAGACAACAGATAAAACTGCTTATGTCTTCTCAGATAACAGTGCCAATTATACAACAGCTAATGGGGGTGGGGTAGGGGTGGAGAGGGATTGACTAGAAGGACTAGTCTAGAAGGAAGAAGGCTTCTTCCTTCTAGAAAAATCAGGTCTGAGGTATTTATTCTATTCCTCCTGTAATGGGCTCAGGAACACTTGGGCTGTCCAGAAGTCTCTTCCATAGTAAAGAAAAATAGAGTAAACAAACTACAACCCTCAGAGGGGCCCCAAGCTGATGACACAAAGTCTCACGCCTTTGCTCACAAAAAAATAACTTTCCTAATAATCAGTTAAAATAGATCTATTACAGGAAGGGCATGTAATAATTGTTTTTTGAGTAATTTAATCAAGTGGATTAAGGAAATTTGACTATACCTAGGGAACATTTTCAACCACAGCAGTTAAGGTGGTGAAAATCAGGGGCTGCCAGAAAAATTCACTGATCACTGAAATCCAACAGCTATGGAACTTCACAAAGAAACGAAAATAGGGGCTTCCTCGTGGCACAGTGGTTAAGAATCCACCTGCCAATGCAGGGGACAAGGGTTCAAGCCCTGGTCCAGGAAGATACCACCTGCTGCGGAACAACTAAGCCCGTGTGCCACAACTACTGAAGCCCGCGTGCCTAGAGCCCGTGCTTCACAACAAGAGCAGCCACGGCAGTGAGAAGCCTGCGCACTGTGATGAACAGTAGCCCCCACCCTCGCCTCGACTAGAGAAAGCCTGCCCTTAGCAAGGAAGGCCCAACGCAGCCAAAAAAACCAAGAATAAATAAATTAAAAAATATATTTAAAAAAAGAATAAAAATAAATTTTAAAAAAATTAAAAAAAAAAGAAACTGAGACAGAAGCCCCACCTCCGAGGTATGTAAATTTGTGGGGGGGTGGAGGGGTGGGAGGGCGAGGCGTGGTTAAAAACTCCTAGGAAGGGTTTGATGAGTTGCCTCAACAGATGTCACCAAAGTCTTTGGTGTATATGTGTGCCCCATGTGGACCTACTTCTCTGGAGATTAGCATATGTTGCTTCAGGACACTTTCAGGCTAATTGCTTCAGGGCATCTGAATGAATGCACCAGAAACAGAAAAGGGTGGGGGCGGTTAGTTAAGGAATCAGTTTAGACCCCAAGACAGTACGTCCCCTCAAATTTAAATGCCGAGCAGTCAGGCGTCCAGGGGTCCAACTGGCAGTGCGGCCAAGAGGCTGCAGGGCGGTGGGAAGGCGGCCCCGGGGCTCAGTTTCCCGGGTGTCGCGGCCGTCTCCGGTGAGCGCCCGGGCCCGGCGTTACCTGCAGCTCTGCCCGCAGCCGCTTGTTCTCCGTGTCCAGCTTGGCCTCGCGGCGGCCCATGGATAACAACTCCTGGTTCTTGCTGACCCGGAAGATCTCGTACTCCTTCTTCAGCCGCTCGTACTCGGCCGCCGCGTACTCCAGCTCGGGCACAGACGAGCCAGTGGACTTGAAGCTGGCCCCCAGCAGCCCGCCGCCGCCCGCCCCGCGGGGCAGCGAACCCGGCCCGGCCCCCGCCCCCGCCCCCGCGCCCCGGCGGAACGAGCTGCGCAGCAGGCGGGCCTTGGGCTTCACCTCCACCGGGATCTCGCAGGCCTCGCCGCCGCCCGCCCCGTACGTGTCCTCGATCACCTCCCCGCCGGCGGGGCTCACGAGCGACGAGGCAGTCCCCATGGCGCCGGCGGCCGCCGCTCCTTGCCACCAAGTACCAGGAGGGGGCGGGACCAGACGAGTGAGATGGGGCGGGGCAGCAGGAAGGGGCGGGGCGAGCGCATCGAGAAGGGGAGGGCCAGTGGGCGGACCAGAGGGATGGGGAGGGGCAGCCGGGTAGTACGGGGCGGGGCAGGGTGGCTAGGCGGGGCCAGAGGAGCGGAACGGATGGGGCGGGGCAGCAGGGCTGGGCTGGGAGTGAGAGCGGAGCGCGCGGGGCGGAGTGATCAGCTTGGCGGTTGCGCAGTTCCACGATTGCGCTACGTCAAGGCCTACGGACAAGGTGAGGTTTTGACTTTTTGCAACAAGGGACACTGCAGACAGCACTTCACAGGAATATGGGGCATCTCACCAAGTAAAGGAAAGGATAGACTATGACAGTATTTGAGGGATATCATGAAAAATGGAGAGAGATGGGAAAACAGTTTTAAACTTTTAAGTCAAGAAAAATGTGGGGTTGGCGTCTTCTCTCTTATGCTGTCTTGTGTTCTTGCCCCTCCGCCGGGTTTCTAACCTCTCCAGGTTTGGAGCCCTGGGAAGGAGGACAGGAGAGGGGAGGGAAAGGCTTTGATTGACACTGCTGTGAACTGGATGTTTGTGCTCTTTGGACTTGGCAGACGGTTAAAACTGGCCCTTCTCAGAGATAGTTCTGTAATTTCTTCAAAGACTCTCTCCCCCTCATAACTGGAAATATTTAATCTTCAGTTTTCTTGACCTGGGATGGTGCAGCTGTATTCCAGCTGGTGCTCACTGCTTCCCCAGCTGTAACGAATTCAGTGATACTTTAAGGATCCTGTCCGCTGATGTTTATTCCTCCCTACAGGGTCCCACTTGGACAGACCCAAGATAATTCATGCTAGCTCACTTGCTGGTGGGGTCCATATCTGATCTACAGGTGTTACAGGTCAGGTTTCCTGGGAAACATATTCTGAAATGGAGATAACCATGCAAGATGTTTATTTGGGAGTGTCCTTGGGATCAACACCTGTAGAAAGGAAGGGAAAGAAGCAAAATTGGTCAGCGGGAGAAGCTGAGCTTTGCTGCAGCCTCAAGAGAGGCCTTAGCCAATCTACAGGGAGTTCTGATCCTGGGATAGCTCTGCAGAGTTGTTCTAAATTGGGGTGGGGGGTTGGGACTTTGTACCCCCATACCAGACAGTCATCAGCTTTCTTCAGCCAAAGTAATCCCCTAGGAGACTGACAGTTGAGGAGTCTGTTGGCATCACTTACAGTGGCTGGAGGAACAAGTTTTTCAGGCATCACAACATCTACCACAACAGGAAACACATTTTCATCTCAAAGAACTCTGGGAATGCAGGCCAGTTCTCACTCCCTCCATCAAAGTAGCTAGTCATCCTTTCTTTTACCCTTTAAATTTTCTTCAGGAGGGAATCAGATACCAGGCCACTGTGTTCTTCACACTCCAAGAGATACATATTAACTTCTTCAAATAGTCTCCTGAGATAAGGGGAAACATTCCCACCATCAAGTATCTCAAGAACTCCTCTCTTTTAAAGTCCTTTCTGATTGCCAGCTTCTAATACTTGTACCCTCAATGTGGATCAGTGGTTCAGGGAATCATTCACTAGGTTTCTGCCACCTCCTTTGGAATGTGCATCAGCTGGAGACTTCCACTATTATGCTTGCATACTAAAATAAAAAGCCATCACTCATTCCCTCCAAACCAATAGCAAACTACAGTAACTTCCCATAACTTGTGGAGTAAATTCAGATTCTGCAGCCTAGGAACAGTGCCCTGGAGCAATGACTCTCCTTTCCTCACCTCTAATTTATCCAGTAACATCCCTCTACACACGTTCTTCCACCCTAGTTGGGCTGATTTTCTTCTTGTCCTCATACCAATGTAGTTTCTATTTCCTTTCAGTACTCTGCCAAACCTCATTTCTTTTAAAGTCTAGCTTCTTTCTCTAAGAAACTTTCCCTGGATAATCATACCTTTCAAGAGTTTATCATATCAATATTTTCAATTCAATAATCTTTGCCTTTGTGCAAAATACTGTACTTAACTTTTCCTGAGCTTGTTCTCCATTAATTGTGTCCCCATTCTATTCATCTTGGTTTTTGGTAGTTGTTATTGTTATGATGCCATTTGTTGCTTAGATTCATCACCAGCAATCATATTGAACTCCTGCTGAGAACACAATGTAGTGGAAATGACTGATGACCCAAAGAGATGTCAGATGTGGCTGGGGTTCTCAAAAAGCATAGGAGTTGGGCTTCCCTGGTGGCGCAGTGCTTGAGAGTCCGCCTGCCGATGCAGGAGACGCGGGTTCGTGCCCCGTTTCGGGAGGATCCCACATGCCGCGGAGCGGCTGGGCCCGTGAGCCATGGCCGCTGGGCCTGCGCGTCCGGAGCTTGTGCTCCGCAAATGGGAGAGGCCACGACAGTGAGAGGCCCGCATAACGCAAGAAAAAAAAAAAAAAAAAAGCATAGGAGTTGTCACTGCCTTCCCTAATAACCTTTACATAGTTTTGCAGATGCCCCCCCCAAAACAAATCCAGGTTTGCTGAGACCATGGAGACTCCTTTCTATATAGTGATTACTGGCTGTCTTTCTCATCAAGGACAATATGTATAAATTCAGCACACATACTGACCTTGGATAACTGTTGGTTAATGCCGAAGTGACATAACTGAGTGCGTGAGCCCAGAGGTGACCAGTTACAGGGTGCCAGCAGATACTCAGTGTTGTTGGTTTCCAACATATTTCTTAATCCTAAACTTATCACAGAATTTGTTCCAGTTTCCAACCTCATAATTTGTTTCCCTTCTTTATGCTGAATTTAACCCACAAACATCAGTCTTCATTTTGAAAGGATAATTTTGACTACAGAACTATGGTGAGGAATGAAGTCTCTGGCAGGCAGCTTATGGCCCGTTAAAGATGGCTACAAAATTTTTAATACTCTATCCATTGAAAGGTGAGGTTTATGATGAGGATAGGCTACATAATTTGTGGGACCCAGTTCAAAATGAAAATGTAGTGCCCTTTGTTCAAAAATTATAAAGCATTTCAAGACAACAATAAACCAAGCATGGACTCCTTTTGAGTTCAGGTTTCTATGCAGCTGCACTTGAGGTTTTTCAAAGGGCCACACAGCCAACACTCCAGCCTGTTTATGACTCCTCCCCTTGAATCTGGTTGAGCTCTGGAACTTTTTTGACCAGTAGACTATGGCAGAAATGACTCTGTTCCACTTTCTGTATCTTGGAACACTCTCTCTAGGAGCCTTGAGCTGCCATGTAAGGAGACCTACTACTCCAGCCAAGGCTGTCAGACTGGAGAGGTTGTGTGTAGGCATTCCAGGCAACAGTCCCAGTTGGCCAAGCCTTCCAGCCAAAGCATGTGAAATGAAGCCATCTTGGACTCCTCAGGCCAAACTGTTTGCTCATTGGGTACCACTCAGTGACTTTAATCAGCACCACAAGGAGAGAAGAAGAATCATCCAGCCGAGCTCTGCCCAAATCTTGACCCACAAAATCATGAAGTGTAATAAAATTCTTAGTTTAAGCCAATGAATTTGATGGTAATTTCTTCTCACACCTGGAACATGAGAAAAATTTCCTCACATTTGGTCAGGTAGCTTGTAAAATTAATTAAAAACAATGCTGCCGCCATTAAAAAAAAATGTGATTTGTAGAATAAATATCATTTGTGTAGGTTAGTGTATGTTGGTTGTCCAGACTGTGACTCACAAATTGCTTGGGACATTTGTTAAAAATTGAGATCCACTGAGTTTTTTGTTTTTTTTTACATCTTTATTGGAGTATAATTGCTTTACAATGGTGTGTTAGTTTCTGCTTTATAACAAAGTGAATCAGTTATACATATACATATGTTCTCATACCTCTTCCCTCTTGTGTCTCCCTCCCTCCCACCCTCCCTATCCCACCCCTCCAGGCAGTCACAAAGCACCAAGCTGATCTCCCTGTGCTATGCGGCTGCTTCCCACTAGCTATCTACCTTATGTTTGGTAATGTATATATGTCCATGCCTCTCTCTCACTTTGTCACAGCTTACCCGTCCCCCTCCCCATATACTCAAGTCCATTCGCTAGTACATCTGTGTCTTTATTCCTGTCTTACCGCTAGGATCTTCATGGCATTTTTTTTTCTTAAATTCCATATATATGTGTTAGCATACGGTATTTGTCTTTCTCTTTCTGACTTACTTCACTCTGTATGACAGACTCTAGGTCTATCCACCTCATTACAAATAGCTCAATTTCATTTCTTTTTATGGCTGAGTAATGTTCCATTGTATATATGTGCCACATCTTCTTGATGCATTCATCCAATGATGGACACTTAGGTTGTTTCCATCTCCTGGCTATTGTAAATACAGCTGCAATGAACATTTTGGTACATGACTCGTTTTGTTTTGTTTTGTTTTGTTTTTTGTTTTTGTTTTGCGGTATGCGGGCCTCTCACTGTTGTGGCCTCTCCCGTTGTGGAGCACAGGCTTCGGACGCGCAGGCTCAGCGGCCATGGCTCACGGGCCCAGCCGCTCCGCGGCATGTGGGATCTTCCCGGGCCAGGGCACAAACCCGTGTCCCCTGCATCGGCAGGCAGACTCTCAACCACTGTGCCACCAGGGAAACCCTATGTGACTCTTTCTGAATTTTGGTTTTCTAGGGTATATGCCCAGTAGTGGGATTGCTGGGTCATATGGTAGTTCTATTTTTAGTTTTTTAAGGAACCTCCATACTGTTCTCCATAGTGGCTGAACCAATTCACATTCCCACCAGCAGTGCAAGAGTGTTCCCTTTTCTCCACACCCTCTCCAGCATTTATTGTTTCTAGATTTTTTGATGATGGCCATTCTGACTGGTGTGAGATGATATCTCATTGTAGTTTTGATTTGCATTTCTCTAATGATTAATGATGTTGAGCATTCTTTCATGTGTTTGTTGGCAGTCTGTATATCTTCTTTGGAGAAATGTCTATTTAGGTC